TGTCGCATAGTTTTGTCTTGCATAGTGCTAGCTAATAGAAATGAGGATGCTTTGAATGTTCAAAACCCAACTTCTGGATCTGTGCAGGGTGTTAAATACTTTAGTACCTCCAGGATGAACGGGGCACTGTTACTGCATCGCTGCCTGGGCAGGGCCACAGATTGGTGGAGGTGATGGCCCAAGGAGGCAACCTTGGGGGGTAGAAAAGATGGTGACTCTCTGTTTCACATGAGATACGATGACCAAATGGTGGCCTGGTTTTGCAGAGGTTTTTAGCTTTCAATGGCAGCCCAAATAAAAATTCAGTGTTAGTCCAAAAACAAAAAGCCTCTGGAGGGGCACTCTGTAGAGATGGAGGGTCAGTTTTTTTCAGAGGTATGTGGTGTCAGAAAGCACAACTAACAGGGTTGGGGGATTTTCCAGGTTGCCTGGATGCCCACAATTAAGCAACCATTTAAGATTTCTGTAAGGTGTGTATTGATACCTACAATCACCAAAAAAAAATAAAAAAAAAATCACTGCAAGCATCTGGAGCTCTGTGCCTGCAAGCGCAGCTGCAGCTGCTGTTCCTTGGGTGATGGCAATCCCAGTTGCTATTCTGAGGTGGGTTATATCAGGTAAAGGAATTAAAGGAAATCTGCTTTGGGTTACCTTGCCAGAAAAATGTGCTGGTTACAAGGATATCTGGGGGCTCAGGGGGTGCAGCCTTTCAGGGCGAACCAAGCACCTTCCAGGCAGCACTTGGCTCTTTGTGGTTTAGGAACAGAGGGAAATCGATGAATAACGGACATGGAGGGTTTCTGACAGAGCAAACACAGAGTCGGTGAGAGCTGCAAACAGCCGTCCTCAAAAATACCTGGATTGCCATTGGTGACCACACGTGCCCCAGCCCACTGAAGGAAACAAACTGAATCCAGTTTGAATCCCAGGACTAGTGCTGTGCGTGGAAGAGCTACAGAGTGACAAAACAGAGAGCTGCCCTGGCACAAAGTCAGTGTCAGTCAGGCTTTCAAGGTAGGCTGCCTGTCCTTCTGGAACCAAAGCCCAAACTCAGCCAACAGCCCAAACCAGCTTGCCTTTTTCCAGTGGTGCTGAGCAGCTCGGAATCAGTGAGGTCTCCGGATACTGTGCACATCTGGATTTAGATGCCTCCTTTTTGGAAGCTGGCTTTGGAGGAAAAATACCCAAAATGTGACTAGTGTTTCCTTTGACTTAATGGGAAGGGTGTTTTGGAGAGAGCAAGCTCTGTCTGGGCTTATACAAAGCCTGTTAAGAGATGTCAGGTTGTGCAGGATGCCCTTTGCCCTCGGACAGGCACAGCTCCCTGGCTGTGCATCCCAGTAGGATGGAGAGTCCTGTGGGTAATGGCTTTCTATTCATATTTGCTCCCATTCTCTACAAACGTGGGTCCAGGAGGGACCCAACTCTGCTGTTTCACCAGCTCACAGAGCATTGCTGTTGCTGTAACACTGCCTTCAACCTCCCACCCAGGGCTGGGGGGTGACCAGTGCAAACCCCCAGGGCCCCTGATGACTTTACCATCGAGCCCCACGTTCGGTCCCCCAGCCCTGATGAAACCTCGTTGGTGTGGGGCTGGCTCTCAGACCCCATGGACGTGGTCAGGAAAGGTCCCCATCCATGTGACAACCTGGCACAGCCTCATGCCTTGATTTAGGGGGGAGCTGGGGCACGGCAGGCAGCTGGACCCGCTGAGAGCACCATGCCGTCTTGCGCAGACCACCGAGCAGCTATCGCTTCTTAATAAACTTCTTGGCCATTGCTGATCGAGCCCATATATGAGGAAGTGAAAAGCAAGTGGTGAAAGGGTCTGTATAACGTTACTAATCCCGTGTAGCGCTCTCACCGAAAAGGCAAGGCGGGTCTCCCTGCTATTGTGTGCTTTCACTGCAGCTGCTTGGTTCACCCTTGTGCTTTTATTAAAATAAAATCTGATAGCGCTGTTTCTGAATGGGTGCAGCCTGCGGATACCCAGCGCCCAAGGGAGGGATGGGGGAGCTGTGGAAGTCTTGTGCACAGGGCTTGGTGCTCTGTGTGTGTGTGCTCCTGGCTGCAGCATGCTGGGGAGCAGGTTTGCAGGCTGGGTGGGGGAAAGCAGTGGCCAACTGCCCTCCTTGGAGGCTCTGTTAAGGGTTTGTATCCTTGCCGTGCAGCATCAGAGCTGTGGGTCTGCTGGTGCTGCTCCTGCAGCCGGGAGGGAGCAGGGCTCTGGCTCACCCTGTGAATATTCAGGCTCTTGGGAAGGGAACTGGGGAGCAGTCAGGGCTGGCTGGTGCCTGCTCAGACTGTATTTCAGCGGCTTCATTTTTCAATCTCAGAGCACACAAGTCTGGGCTGTGTACTAGGGAGGCTGGACTGGATGGTCTCCTGTGGCTTTGCAACCTGCAATCTGCTGGGGAAAACAAAGGGCTGTGAAGGCTGCTGCCAAATCTAGGTGGAGGGGGTACCTATGTATATATATTTAAATTTTTTAGCAAAGATGCTTCAGTCTGAAGGAAAGCGGTTGAAGTTTTTTGTGTGGCAGTTACCTTCTGACACAGTATTTCCCTTTGCAGCTGCAGTACTGGGGAGGGCAGTGGATGCTCCTCCTGCTTCTTGGGACTTAATCCTGCCTGGAGATGTGGTATAAGAGGCTTGGGAAAACCAGCTCAGAGTCAGATTTTTCTCTTCATGGTTTCAATTCCTGTTTCCAAGAGTTGGTTTGTTTGAAGCGCCGATGTCGGGTTAAAGGGAACACACATACTGAACCAAACAGTTCTTTTTTCTTTAGTATTGCATTCTAGCAAAAAAAAAAAAAAAAAAAAACCCCAAACAAAAAACAAACCAAAACAACCCCAAAAAACCCAAACAATTGGTTTCCTCTGTGCCGTGTTTGCTGGTGGTTTTGGTCTGGCAGAGGAACTCGGGGTCACTGGTACAGGCTATACCCTGTGAAGTGAGTCACCGAGGGCTGCATTTGGGCATCTGGAGCCGCTCACAGCATTCCCAACGGAGCGTTAACCACCTCTTGTGCAACCGTGTCAATGCTTTTCCAGTAAATACATTGCCCGGTAGTCGCTAAATAAGCATAAAACTTTCCTTGAAGTCTGTTGGCATGTTGAAATCAAGTATCCTTGAGGAAGAACTACTGATTTTGTTCAAATGTGACTGGAGAAAGGAGGGGGGCAGCTCGGATAGCCCTCAGGTCTGGGTTTGCTGGGAGATCGTGTTCCGACGCCCCGCCTGAAGCAGGGCTTTGCGGCTGCTATCCCCAGAGGTTCCATTTCTTAAATATTCTGGGATCTTGCTCAAACTTTTTACTAACAGGAATCCGAATCTTGTAACTCCAGCCTTGTGCAGGATAGGAAAATACTCTGAAATCTAACAGCTCTTTCTCCTTCTGGGTATTACCACAGTTAACAAGCATATAGTGTGCGTATAGATAGGGTGGGTTTTTTTTTTTTCCCTCTCTAAATGGGAGGAAACCCCTGAGCTGAGGTCAGGCATTGCCCTGATTACACAGTGTGAGATCTCTGGTGCAGGAGTCGTGCCGATCTCGGCAGCAGCCCTGTGCGAAGCCGCCTCTGCAGCGGGGAGCAGAGCTGTGCTGTCTGGGCAGCACCGGGAGCTCTCAGTGCATTTCAGCTCCGGCTGGCTTTGCCCTTCCTATCCTTTCCTTTGCCCTTCCTTTGTTTTCCTTTTTATCTGGGCAGTGCTGCAGGAGCCTTGCAGGGTGCAAATTCCCTTCTAACCGAGGTCTTGTCTAAATCGCTGCATTTAACTTGTTTTTATTTTGACCTGGGGTGGTTGATTTACATTTATTTAGTGTAACACTAGGCTGGTGGCTATAGGTGCATGGCATGGCCCTTTGTGTAACAAGATTCCTCAGTGTTTGGGCAAAATACAAATCCTAAAATGAGAAAGGGAAATAAACTGGACTGGAATAACATTTTCTAATTCCAGTGTCATCAGGATGCCATGTCAACTTCTCCGATTCAGTGTTTTTCCCAAAACCAATTCATCCACCAAAAAAAAAAGTTATTAGAAGTGGCTGGAGTTCCCTTAAGGAAATTTCAGAGCAGTTTCCAGCTTTTTTTAAATACATTTTTTATTACTTTTTTTTTTCCATTTGTCTTAGAAAGAAATATGAAATCTGCATGCAACCTTCTAAATATTTCGAACATTTAAATAGCATATGATAATTTAGCAGTACAGTACATTATACAGAAAGATAATATAGGGAGACTTCCTATAGTATATTTACAAATGAGAAGGTAGTTTTGTTATTTTAAAAAGAGGAATGCACTGCTTATCATTGAAGTATTACATTCAAAATAATGAATACGTTGTATTGTGACTAAAACATATATAGGTATTTATATGTTTGCCCTATCATATTTTTTCATAAAAAGGTACCTTTTAAAGGCTTTTTTTTTTGTTGCTACAAATCTAGGAAATCATACACAATAGTCTTGAAGCTTAAAATGTCTCAGTTCTGAAGCCACAAACTTTCTGTAAGAAGTTCAGGTGGAAAAAAAAAAACAAAACAAACCAAACATTTTCTTAGTAACAAAAATGACCTAGAAATGCTTTCTAATGAACAAAATGTTAGATGGGAGATTGGTACGCTTCGCCTTGCAGCAAGATCTCAAGTCCCTTAAAGAAGAGGTACACCAGTGATGCTCAGACTCGTTTGAGGATGTGCCGTGGGACCTCACTTCTGCAGTTACAGCCACGACATTTCAGCGGCATCTTCTCCAGCAAACTCATCTTTGGTCCCCGCTTTGCCTGACTAAGGTGGAGGCTGCAAACGTGACAAACAAGCGCAGCACCGGAGCTTTCCCGCTGCGGAAGGATGAGGGACACGGCTGTACAACACCTTTACAAATGTTTGTTTGTCTAGTGAGCTTATAAAGCTCGATTGCAATCATAGTGAAGTATGAATGAATAACAATTAAAAAAAAAACCAAACCAGCTGCTTAAAAATGAAATGCATTTGCTTTCCCAATATGAGTACAGAGCAGATGGGTATGAAACCTGGAGTGCAACGGATGCTTGTGAAATCTGGAAGCCTTTTGCACGTGGCTAGAAAATGTAAAAACTGACCCTTGGTAAAAAGTGCTTTATAATAATATAGAATTTGTGTCTTATGTCTGTGAGAGAAATCTTCTGCAGAGCCCAGTCCTATGCCAGCCAAGGGAGTCCTCTCCATTCCTCACGCTGCTGCCTCTTATTCTTCATAAACCCTGAACAGAAGGAAAGCCAAGAGCAAGGTGTTTAAACTATCAACAAAACAATTCCCTTCCAAATAATAACAATAATAAACCCCGACCCACAAACAACAAAAAAACCCCAGAAACCATATTTTTAACCTTTTCTTAAGTGAATTGGAAAGTAAGTTATTGCTGTCCATAAAGCATCTGGGAGGAGGGCTGGACTTTGAAACCCCCACATCTTGTAGGTGTGCAGGGAGTGATGTGCTCTGCCATGAGTATCAGGATATATAAGATGAAGAAATCCCCATCTGCTAATACACTTTAACTGCTGGAAAAACCCCTATCTTGTATACAGATGTTGAAGTATATCACGAGCTGTGTGTAGATAATAAGTTGACAATATCTGTTGTGTTTAGAATAATATTATAGGCAGTGTTGTTTTACATCCTGAGAAAAACACCTGCCAGGCTTGTTTGCTGAAAGCAGTCTTCCATAGCATGGGAAAATCGGGGGCAATGCTGTTTGGAGGAACAGGTTCATATTTGTACTGCGTTTGACTTTAAATTCTGCTTTTTCCTGGGGAGCAGTGCAGTGGGTTTGGTACAGCTGGCACTGAAAGCACTGACAAATTGTTTTATTTATTATGAGGACTTGGTTTGAATCATAGAATCACAGACTGGTTTGGTTGGAAGGGACCTTAAAGCCCATCCAGTGCCACCCCCTGCCATGGGCAGGGACACCTCCCACCAGCCCAGGTTGCCCAAAGCCTCATCCAGCCTGGCCTTGAACCCCTCCAGGGATGGGGCATCCACAGCTTCTCTGGGCGCCCTGGGCCACTGCCTCACCCCCCGCACAGTAAATCAAGCTCTTCTGTGTCTGAAATAATCCCTTGATGCTGCTTCAGCTGTGGTTTAGCTGGGCTGCCCTGCTTGCCCCGTTCCAGTGTCAGTGTCCCCACGCCGGGGGACATGCTGCAACAGGGCAGTGCCAGCGCTGGGCAAGGCAAAGCGATTGAAACCTCTGAGGGTTGTGCTGCATCCTTCTGTATGCCCCAGGCTGGCAGCCAAAGCTGTGGGGATGCTGGGCTTGCCGTCCCTCCTCCTCTCCCTGGCAGCAGGGACAGTCCCTGTGCCCTGGCTGGGCTCTGGGGAAGCCTCCAGCTGCCCCTTACTTTGGGCTATGGAGAAGGCTGCGAGCAGCACCGTTATCTGCGGCCAGGAGCCAGTCTGCAGCGGGGGGACCTTGGCTCTCACAGCCTTGCACGGGGCATTCCTCCTCTCGGTCTGCTCGGGGGAGTCCTGCACGATTCCTGAATGCACAAGCCTGGGGCTGAGCATCCTTTGTCATCACGACTGCACCAGAGCTCGCTGGCATCCTTGGACCTGCTGAGTCCTGAGATGGAGCTTGCTGCTCGCTGGCCTTGTCTGAGCTCAATTTTGGGGAGTAAATCCCCCATCAGTTGAGGAGGATGAGGGTTTTTTGGGACTGTGCTGCATGCAGAGGTTCTTTCTTAGCCATGGCTGGAGAGGAGGTAGAAATTGGGCAGCTCCCTTTAATTACACATACGGACATCACTGCTGGCCATCAACCATCAGGAATTCATGTTTCTCTCTCTCTTCTATCTATGACTGATGGCTTGCAAAAAAAAAAAATCCTCTTCGCAAGGGAGAGTGTGGCAGAGCATCTTACCAGCAAGTTACTGTTTTTTTTTCTGGGGATGTTAAAATTGGCAAAGTTCTGCGTCATCAGGTAGTGATGATTTTGAGGTGGTGGGATTAAAGCTTGTGACAGGGCATTCTCTGCCCAACTCTGCTGATTGCTTTCCGTGTGGAAGTCATTCAGCTTTTCATCTTGGCTTTTTCCCCAGAGAAGGGAGGTGAGTGTATGTAAATAACTGAGAACATCAGCTGATGAATACTTTAACAGAAAATTTTTACTATTTATATGTGGAACAGCCTAATCCTAAAATAGAAGTGCATGTGGCAGGAAAGAAATAACATCAAGAACATCCATTTATAACTGTAATTTTGGTAATAAAATACATCCTCTGTGCTGGATAGAGCTTTTGCACTGTTTTCCTGGCCTCTCTCTGAATGCTGCTGATTGCCCAACTCACTGCCAAGATTTTTCCCTTCCCCATTCAGCAAATCCCTACTTACCTGCCTTTCTCTTTCCATACTCTGTACCACTTCAGCAGCCTCACTGTGTTCTGGCGTTTGGGGTTGAGGCAGTGCTGCTGCTCCCCTCGCACCCGCGTCCACAGCGTCACGCTGCAAGGCAAGCCAGCACAGGTTACGGGGGCACGGGAAACACCCCTCCTCTGCCCCCACCCCGGGTAAATGCCAAAATCGGTCTGGGGATTCTCACCCAGGTGGGGAGTGGAAGAGTTTTCATGCTCTGTGCTTCATGGCAGATATTTGAGTTTCTTGTAATAATATCGGAGCAGATCTTTAGCTGTTATCGATCAGTGCAGTGCACTATTGTCCACCCTTATACTAGGTTGTATCAGATGAAGATTTAACCACTGGTTTTAATCAGTGGGTTTGCTCTGCCTGTCAGATGTTTTGTTTTGAGCTTAATAGCTGATTTAGTTAGGGTTCACTCAGGCGCCCCAAGGTCTTTGCATGAGGAAATGGTCCCCTTGCACTCAGCAATGCTGCATCCAAGAGAAAAGATCAGACCTGGTTCATTGATTTTTTAATTTTTTTATTAAGTTTTCAATATTTTAAGTACTTGCACACGGCAGAGTGCCTGTGTGCCCAACAGAATAGCTCTGAGCCCCCCAGCATTGCAGTCCTGGGGGCTTCAGCCTCACCTGATCCCAGGCTGACCCCTCTCTCCTTGCCAGCAGCAGTGCCTTGGTGGCCATTTATTGTCAGGGTAAAGTGTGGTGGGAGGCAAAACATGGCAAAAGTCTTCGCTTCATGTTAGGTTTTGTCCCAGAGAGCTTAGTGAAGCCATTGCAGGTTGGTCTGCCACAACCAAGGTGACACAAGAGACCTGGAGCTGCTTCCCAAGAGGATGGCTTTCCAGGAATGTCAAGACTACTATCACTTCTCAGGGCTCAAAATCAAGCAGTTTTCCATTTTTCTTATTAATTTTGTGATTTAAAAAAAAAAAACCAGAAAACGCCAATGCACAATTTTTGAATTATTCATTTTCTGGAAATCCCATCTATAATGGAGAAACATGGTTTTTGATTCAACTAAAATACTATAATGGAATTATTTAAACACTGCTGAAGACATGAGTAAAATGATGGCAGAAAACTCAGAAATATCTGTGCATACTGGTGGGCTTATTTTGTGATTTGGTTTAGAAAGGAGCTGTTTTACCTTCTAACCCAAGAAAAAGTTCCTTGCAAGCTTTCCCAGCTCAGCCGGCCGGTGCAGAGGGGCCGTGCCTGACTGGAAGTGAGACGCTGCGTGTTCCCTGCATGAGCTCACCTACAGGTCTCACCACGTTTCCTGTTTCAATATTATTTAAGGTGCTCCAATAGGATTTTTTTTCTATTCAATTAACCTTCTTCCTTGCTCTTTTTCTCCATTCCACCTCCGACAAGTGTAAGCTAAGTCACAAAAAGACAAGGTGCAATTTTCAGGTTGGTTTCTGGGAAGCGGTGGAAGGTCTCCAAGAGCCTCCGTGGCTGCAGCGTTGGGAGGGGAAGGGTCACTGCCAAAACCTACGGACTGCCTCTGCTCCAAGGGTGTTCTCAGCCAGCCCCTCTGGGGATCAGCACTGAGAAGGGAAGTTTTCCTGTAGCTCTGAACGGGACTTAAACCAAACCTTCACTGTAGGCACAAGGCATGCGAGTTTTAAAGGACGTGAGGTCAGTGCAAAGTTTCTCCATCCAGCAGCCACCTTCTCGGCTCTGCTTTCTGCACTGGCTGATGCCAGACCTTGGCTTGGGTTGCTCCTCTGACAGGCCAGAGAAAGTATTTCCAGAAAGTGACGGACAGGCTGAATTGCAGGAGGAAAGAAGCAGGAGCGCCTCGGAAAAGTGGCAAGCCTGACATTTGCACCAGAAGCAGTGAAGGACAATTCTGGATTTACTAGAGCCTAGCAGGAGGAGGACATGCATGGCTGGATTCCCAGGTGAACAACCAGGGCTTTTCTCAGGCTGAGATGCCTTGCTTTGACACCACACATAAGTTTTCTTCTTTGATGCTGGAGGCTGGATGACAGAGATGTTCCCAATGCAGCCCCGTGGTCCTCTGCAGTTCCCATGCAGTCCCTGGTCCTGTGGGCACAGGGTTGGGGGGTGGCATTTTTGGGGACCCTGAGGTGACCTGGCCCTGCTCTCAGAGGTGCTGGTCCAGCAGGTGTAAGGGGACGTGCCTAAGAAGCCCTGTGGGAGCTGATAGCCTGAGTGAGGAGCTGTCTGGATGGGCTGCAAGAAGAGGTTGAGAGGGATGGAGAAGGGACTGAAGCACCAGAACTTACACCTCCAGTGGGATTTGGGACATGAGCTCACTCCAGGGGTATCTGCTGCCCAGGGCTTGGTGGCTGCAGCCTTCACCCGGGGTGTCTGAGGTCCCTGTGCCAGAATCCTCCCCTGTATGTCCAAGCCTCCAGGGCTGCGGTGAGCACCCTGGGTCAGTCCATGACCATCTGCAGGGATGGTGGGGCTGCACCGCTGCCCACAAACACCCTGTCCCTGGGGCCAGCAGGGTCCTGGCTCTGGTCCCTTCAGCTGAGCCAGTGCAGGGACTGTCACCCACCGTGGCTGTCCCTCGAGAAAGGCTCCCAGTGGTGCCCATTTCTCCCCTCTGGCTCAGGCCCCCCTCTTTGGGACGGGGCAATGTGGGGAGGGGTGGTGGATCCTTTCAGACAGAAAGAGTTAAACTTCCCTCCTCTTTTCTGTTGCTTTTCCTCATTCCGGGAGACAGATATCCACACAACTGCTGCTAGATGTACTGTGCATCTTGATAGGTTTTGACTCGACTGAGGACTCAGTTTAGCTGCCTCTTACCCCGTACCACAGCTCTGCTGGGGGGGGGGGTTATGGCCAATGAAAAATTCCTTCCTAACCTGCACCCTCATACCTGCTGCCTCTCTGCCAAACACCATTCATATCACATTTCTCCTATATGAAAATATACGAAAGCTTTTGGGAAGGTCAGGAGGGGACCCAGCTTCAACAACTCGTTTTAGTTGATCACCACAGTAACAAAAACTCAGCTGCAGGAATTCAGCTCTTCTGTGCCTTGCCCAGAGACTCCCACATCAATGGGCTCTCTGAATATTAATTTCAGTTTGCTTTCAATACGGACTTCAGGTTGCAGGAGAGTAGCCCTGATTGCCCCGCAGCAGCAATGGGAGAGGGATGGGACAGCTCTGTCCCCACAGCTGCTGCAAACCCAGGGCTCGAACAGCATCGCTTGGCATCTGCATAGCTATCCAGCTGGGAAAGCACCCGCTCCACCATGGCATTACAGCTTTCCTGACTTTCTGATTGAAAGTGGAATGTTGCATTAATGAGATTTATTTTATACCCCCCTCCGGCCACCAGCTGCTTTCAGGCAAATGCCTGGAGTGGGATGCGAAGAGTTAGTGCCCCTCTACACCACCCTTTTGCAATCGGAAGGTCAGAGCAAACAAAGTAAAGCTGCAAGGAACTGATTCAGGTGGTGATGCTGTGCAAGCATTTCAGGTCACCACCTTCAAAGAGGGGGGGTCTGATGTTCACTGAGCTCAGCATTACTCAGCATCGTGTACATCTGGAGGAAGCCTAAGGCAGCTTGGCTCTCTGTTCCTCCTCCAAACACCCTCCAACGAGTCTGGCCAGCCAGTTCTGCGTGGGCAGGATCAGGCTCCTGGGGTATCTCCTTGTTTGTGCCAGTTGGATGGGCAGGATTTGGCCCCGTGGGCATTACAAAGCACTGGAGGTGTTACACAGCTCAGCAGGATGGGACTCAGATCCTGCTGTTAAAGCATTTTTCTAAGATTAAGCGAATGGCAAATGTTCCGTGATGGAGCACAAATGCTGGAGTAAATCAGTCCTTGGCGTTCTGGGGGTGTGGCAGCTCTTGGGACCCTTTTTCCCCTTCTTAGGTGGCAGCGGGCTCAGTGCAGTCTTCACGGCTAATCTGCACTTCTGGTCCTTATCCAGCCCCACGTGCTGGCTGGTTGGTGTTTTCTTGGGGGATCTTAAGATATCCAAGACAGGACAGAAAAAACCCCCACAAACTAACTATATTTAAAATTTAAAAAAAAAAAAAACAAAACCAAACCTAATCTCATTTTGACAGAGATCAGAGATGTCAAAAATCCCTGTACCTGCCTTGGTTCAGTTAGTCACTGCATCACTTTCAGACATCACAGTTTGCAGTGAGACAGGGAGGGAAGTTTTTTTCTTATGTGCTAGGTAATCCCGTGGAATGCAAGGGGATGGCTCTGGTACAACGCAGGAGAAAATCTGACTCTGGTTGGGATAACCCTTGCAGAAACAAGCATGGAGCGAACTCTGCTCGTGTTCTTATTCCGCACACCCCAAATAACTTGAGTAAATAGTTCTGTGTTTTACATCGGGCAGCTTGGAGCAGGATTTGTCCCTATCTTCACTTGAACTAACGATTATCCTTTTATCTCTACCTGTTCTGCAAATATTTCTTCGAGCAAAAAAAAAAAAACTATGTTGAAAAATGATAGCTGGGTTTTCCATCAGAATTGAATATTCCATTGCATCTGACACAGCAAATGAGTATTCCCAGAGATTAGCATGCCAGGGCACGAGAAAACCAAAGAACAAAGGAACTTGCAGGACAAGGTAAAGCAATTCAGCTGATAGGGAAACAGAAAGCAACAAATGAAGGAAAACTTACATAATCATCTCTTCCACGCAAAACGGGTACCTCGGTTTTATTTCCAGCTTCCGTACATTAGAGAATCTTATTTTAGGACCTTTTCTTGAACATTTGCACTTTACACCTACAAGAGAAAGCATTTTCTCATGCGCCTGCAAAGCCTCCTGCATACCGAGCGTCCCTTCCCTGCCAGCCTGTGTGCACACAAACTTCACTTCAGTTTTTCAAGCCTCAGTGGGAAAAGCTGAATTTCTGTAATGCTGTAGAACTTAAAAAAAAAAAAATATATATTTTCTTTGCTGTATCCCAGGAAAAGGTAGTGACTCTCTGGGAAAAATGTTCTGAGGCTTAGTAAATCTGAGAGCTTTTGAAAGTGCACCTGCTGCAATTAAATGTAATTGTATTTAACTAAAGGAAATGAGAGAGTCAGAACTCGCTTTAAACTAAGCAAACGTCTCAGCTACTTTCTCATTCATTCCCATCTCTCTCAGACTTTGTGGGACTTCCAGTTATTTCTCCATTTCTCCTTGCATGGATGCTGCAGTGCATTCACAGCCAGACAAAAGCAGAGCGTTTTTAACCATCATTTTTTGTGCCCAGCAGAAAATGCACAAGCGTACATGGTGGAATTTGTGCCACCCCATCAAATCCACCTCTGCTCTATTTTCCCTGAGAAAACCACCCTCTGTTTCAAAGGAGACATTCGATCTCTGTTCCTGAATAGTGGAGAACACAGCGTGACCTCCTGTACTGTGAGCTGGGGCTATTATTTGGTTTGCAACGAAGACACAACTTTGTTCTGTCTATTTTATCTCTCCTTCCACCTTTAAAAAAACCCCACGGCTACCTTACACATGGATTCAACACATCCCTCTTTCCCAGCATGCAGGGGACAGCTCAATCCAACTCAGGGCTTATCAAGAGGCAAAAAAAAAATTCCTGGAAAAGAGCTTTAAGTGGGAATAAGCAGAACAAGCCACCTTACCTTCCGTGCTGGCCACGCACATGGCGATGAACAGCAGAAGCAGAGCCGCTGTCAGGAGCTTCATGCTGAGACAGCAGGTACCCAGAGAGCCGCCGGGGCTTTTAATGGGTTTGCTGGTTTCGGGTTCGTCCCACAAATCCCCCCGTCCCCGGGGCTGGATGTCACCAGGGAGGGGACAGCAAAGAGCGGCTGC